TCTCCTAGAGAATCAAGGAACATAAACCAGACTGTTTGTCTACTGGAGAAAGAAAAACCATGACTAGTGCCCTTGTCGGACACCTCTCCAATACGGGACATACTGTGAATGTAAACGCCTCCAAGGTGATCTACCGGGTTCCTCCCGGCTGTTCGCCAACAACATCTAGCAACAGTCGAGGCAGTAGCCATCCGTCTTTTTAACTCATCGCTCTGTTCCCAAAAGCGATTCGCTAAAGCACTTCAACTGCCGTGGCCTCGGAGTGAATTCGGTTGCATGACTGGAGCTGACTCTTTCCATGACCCGTTGACCCTTGCGATTGACTCCGTACCCGAAACCGGTGATGGTTAACCCTGACTCGATCCTAATCCCTCGTGTGACACGTTCCTTTCCCATCCACCCACCACTCCATTTTTGTTTGTAAACCGCACATAAACAACAAATTATATCTACCAATCCAATTCACACGCACACACACACACACAGGTCAAACGTTATGCAAATGTGATATGCCTTGTACCTATTTATATAACTGTATTAGCCAGATGAGGAAGTTACCGAAAATGAGCTTGTTCGCTATTTCGTGTTTTGTTCTCAAATATTACAATGGGAATCTTCAATGAATTCTTTTTGTTTCTGTGAATAATTGGGAAATGGAGTAGGATGGGGTATAATGATGCACTGATTCGGATAAAGACGCAACAAATGGATGGATTAGTGAACATATTTTAGTCTTTTGGATTAACACATACGTTGGTTTATTTTTCATCAAATCTGGAAATGTGCTTACCACTCTGTACTGGTGGCTGAACCCTATAAAGCCTTGGAGGGTATGGGTGAATAATTGTCGAACGCGGTGCCAAATCAGGCTCAGATTATGGTCCACAGGGCATTTCTAACTGTCTCCCTATTGGTTTTTATTTTCTAGCCGATCCTCGTGAAGCGGACCAATTTATTCTTTTCGGACTATGTGCGCTCCGAGGGGGACCAATTAAAGCAGCAATTTTGCTGCAGACTTTACATCTAACTGAATTGTGCAAGACAAGTTTGAGTTTGGTGAAATGTAGACATGCTTCTATGAAGGTTTGACTTAGCTCCTCCTATCTGCTTCGTTCACGTTAGTGCTGAAGAAACAGACTACTGGACGGCATAAAATGATCTGTCTGCTTCAAGTAAGCCATTGCATAATTGACAAAGAATGAGAACTTTTAAAACTCGATATTTCATGAATAGCATTCCAGTTCCTCCCTGTCTCAAGTCCGTTTTTAGCTTTATTACACAAATTCCAATCACAAAAAGAAATCAATACTGTCCTCGATTTTCCCATGATTTAAAAGAATACAAACAGGCAACTGGTTGATACCACCACCAAGCACCAGCTAATGTTACGATCAGTTTTGATCGAAAGTTAGTCAGGCCTGGTAAGTTTTACATACCTTAAATAAATGAAAATGGATGTCCTCTCAGTTGATTATTATTGAAAAATATCCCACGGTGAGGAACTATTTTTGACAGATTAACACTCGTATACTCTTGAACAAAACGACCAAGGTCATGGCAACGGCAAGAGTAGACTGTTGAATCAAGTCAAGTATCATTGGAAACATATCTATGCCCATTTTCTCGATAATGCTCCTAAAATATTTAATTCTCTACCAAACCTTGAAGTTCACAGGAGATAACCAGTTCTGTGTCCTTCTAACAATTTAGATTCCAGGACAACGAGCTAAAATCTACCACTATTTCTAGTGTCTCAGAATTAAGACAGGGATCAATTGTTCATCGTGTTGGCGCGGTCTCCTACGCGGCAAAAGACAGCCATGTGAAAATAAACCAAATACGGAGAATGTAAACTGGGAAAGCTCTCACTTTTTTATCGTATTTTGAGTTCTGTTTTGTGTTATTAGTTAAACCAGATAATGCACTTTGTTTGAACCCAGTTGTATTCTTATGTTCCCTTTTATTCTCTCCTCAAATCAGGGAATCTTCATCCCTTGATCGGAAATCTCGAAGATCCAGATCTAACCGCAACAGTATGCCATCTCCACGTGCCCAGTCAGTGGAGAAATTGGACGGAGTTACACTCCCTTATGGCTCGGAGAAAGTGGTCAGTGTGAAGAAGAGAAGTAAACAGGGTACCGGAAAGACTCAACCCTTAACCATAAACACGAGCGATGCTCGAATGTTCAGCACATCCGAAGGGGATCTGACAATGCGAAAATTGATACGTCGTGAACGGAAACGGTATTCCGGTGTTTATGAGGATCCCAAAACCCATCGAATGTCTTTGTACAATTCGCACAAAAAATCACAGGATTCCCGTAAATCGCATGTGTTGAGCTCAGTCTTGTTCGAGCCAAACAGTAACCGACGACGGGTGATCAGTTGTTTGGAGCTGAATGCACCCGAACCGATAGAATTGGAATCTGTTCCTATTGAACGAATGAGGAATGGGGATACAACCAATGGACCAGTCTCTGTTCCCGTATTTACCGAAGGTCGACTCAATCAGGGCACATTTGTATTTCCCCGAGATTCGACAAGATTGAAAACACCCCGGGAACGTGAAGTTTTTGTGTCCGTACGTAATGATGATGCAGATTCACACGGGATACGTTACAGTGGAATTTTCCAACCTGATTTGCAGAGACATCGTTCAAGTAGCCGACATTTACGAAAATCTAGGAGTAGTAATATTTATCAACCAACAACAACACCCATGTGGAGTCCGTTCGTTCCGGTTGCCGTGAATTTCTGCCCGAATTGCATGGCTTCTACGTGCCAACGTTGTCGCAATTCGATATCCTCACCGCGCAAAAGTTTTAGTCAAGATTTACTCGCCGGTACTCCATATCCATACGAACCAGCAGATTATCGTGGTAGTCAATATATGGATATGCCACAACCGCCAATACCCCAATATCCGCCATCTTATCATCATCATCACCATTATCAACAACAACAACAACAACGCCAGCGTATGTCCAGCTACTATTCCGGCAGTCGGATGTCGGATATCGATCGTGTTTATACCATGCCATCCAGAACTAATCTACTCAATACCAGTATCGAAGAGCTGAGTGGATACGGTTATGAGAATGATCGAACGGTTGATCT